GGAGAACATAGGGCAGCGAAGAGGTCCCTTTTCTGAAATATCACTTTTCACGACATGCTTCGATAGAATTATTATTTTCTTGAAAACTACTGTGATTTAAGACAAAAGTAGGTATTCCCATTACCTACGAAATTTAGAGCTTTCTTTTGATACCAAAATCGTTGCTTGAATAAGAAAAATATATGTTTTCCCACAGATAGCAGCACTGCTTCTAACGTAACTGGTCCCATTGTATTATTGCCAATTTGAGGGAGAAAAACCGGACAAGTTGATTTCAAATCAAATCAAATCAAATCAAAAATTCTTTATTTATTTCATGCACAGAGATACATATAAATAGTGTCAAAAAATTATATTAAAAATACATCAGTGTTTGAACCTTAACTATTTTAACACAATTTGTCCTGAAATATACTTTTTATTTATTTTGTGAACAAAGGTGGAAAAACTCATCTAATGAATATATTGGTTTGTTTACTATGTACTCTTTGAGTTTCTTCTTAAATTTTTCAATATTCTTTTCAGACTTTATATTTTTTGGTAAATGCATAAAGAATTTCTTTCCCGAATATGTTGGTTTTTTCTCGTAAAATTTTAATCTGTGATGATTTGGGATAATTTCATTTTTATGCCTTGTATTATACTTGTGGCATATGGAAGATTTAGGACTTACTGCCTCATTTTTAGAAATTAGTATGCAGTCATAGATGTATTGTCCATAAACTGTGGGAATTTTAAGATTAACAAAGTGTTCCTCTTTCGCTGATCGATCATAATTTAGTTTAAGAATGATTTTTATGGCTCTTTTCTGTTCTTTCAAAATACTGTCTAAATTTATTTTCCCTGTTGCTCCAAAAAGACACAATCCGAAACTTATGTGTGAGTGAATGTATGAAAAATAGATATGGCGTAATGTCTCCGATCCACAGTATAACGACATTTTCCTAAGAGCATATATACCAGAGTTAACTTTTGATAACACCTTACCTACATGATCATTCCAATTTAAATTTGCATCCACTGTTAAACCAAGGAAGCATGTACTTGTCTTCTCCTCAATCATCTGTGAATCTGACATAATAATTAAATTCTCATTTTTTTATTTTGTGCAGTTCTAAATTGCATGAAGTTAGTTTTTAGTGTATTTAGTAACAAATTATGATTTTTTAAGTAATCGTTTAAATTTTCTAGCTCTACAAAAGATTGTATTTCCATTTGTTCTATTGAGTTTGATGTTATTTTTAAATTGGAATCATCAGCGTACAGATAAAGCTGACTGTTGTTCTTATAAGACAGAACCTTATTTATATCCTTGAGATATATTATAAAAAGCAAAGGTCCTAATATTGATCCCTGTGGGACACCATATTTTACTAGTTCCAGGTCTGAAACTATATTTGTTGATTTGTTATTCGGTGACAAATGTTTTACTTCTACATACTGATACCTATTTACAAGAAATGTATTGAACCAATTTAGAGATGTTTTTGAAATGCCAATATTCTTTAATTTTTCTATTAAAATTAGATGATTAACACTGTCAAATGCTCTTGAAAGGTCCATAAATATACCTGTTGTATGTTTGCCCTCGTCAACTGACTCTATTACTGATTCTATGAAGGATACTGCCGCACTAATAACAGATCTTCCTGACCCGAAACCGTGCTGTAAGTCATCAAATAAGTTGTGTTGCTCTAGATATGACGTTAATTGTACAGAAACTATTTTCTCAAATATTTTAGAAACAGAAGGAAGCAGAGCTACGGGTCTATAATTAGAAACATTTTTAGGATCATCTTTTTTATGGATTGGAATTATTTTGGCTATTTTAAGTTGGTCCGGAAACAAACCAGAAATGAAAGAAGAATTAATCAGGTGACATAAAACTTTGGTTAAGTATTGGCTTGCTCCCTTTAATACTGTAGTAGGCACTTCATCATAGCCACTTGAAAGCTTATTTTTCAAACTGCTAATGACTTTTTCCACCTCATGTTCATTTACAGGATTGAGTCTAAAACATGTACTTAAGAATGAGTTCTTTTCTAATTCTTTGTTTAAATGTATATGATTACTAGTAGTTATATTCTTAACAACATTTGTAAAATACCTATTAAACATATTTGAAACATCCTTAGGATTAGTTATATCATTTAAGCCATCATTTAACACAAACTTTCTTATTGATCTATTATTCTTTCCAACTTCTGAATTTATTATGTTCCAAACAGTTTTTTGAACATTTGATGATTTATATATTTGATCTTCATAAAAAGTTGTTTTAGCCTTTTTTATATGATTCCTAAATGCTACTTTTTGTTGTTTTAGTATTGGTTTTAATTTTGTGTTTTTACTTTGCCTGAATTCATTAGTTAGTTGTATTATTTCTTGTCTTTTAGTTTTTATTTCATTTGACATCCAATTTGAATTTTTATTCTTTTTAGTTATCAATTTCTTTGGAAATGCTAGTTCAAAGTAATATCTGAAAATTTCATTGAAAATACTATACTTTTCTTCGACTGGGGCAAAATATACTTCTTCCCATGTTTCATTTTTTAATAGGTCTGAGAAATGGGCAATGTTTTCTGGAGAAAACTTACGTACCTCCTGCTTTAACATCTTATTTGTGGTATTGTCATTTGAATTTAGATTATTGAAAGATAATACTTGTCCATCATGATCTGACAAGCAGGATACTATTCCTTCTATTGAAATGTTATAATTTTCTTGATTTTTTATAAAAAAATTGTCTATAGCTGTTTTGGAATTTTCTGTTATTCTAGTTGGAAAAGTGATAAAATATTTCATATTATGGCTTTTTAGAACGTATTTAAGAAAACCAATTTCTAAGCTTGCCAGGTGAGGATTTTATGGGGAAACTTAATACCAACCTACACCACAACAAAAAGCAAGCCACACACAACGCGAGACTAAAGTGTACAAGCAACAAGCAACGCTGACAGAGAAACGAAGATATACGAAAGGCATAATTGCTGAGCGTTCCCTATCGGGTACGGACGCACCTGAAGGACGCTAAGCACCGTACCCGATCGGGAATGGCCACAAACAATGTGTTAAATTGTTTTCCCAAGTATTAGATCTTCAAAGAAGTATAAAGACATATTTCTGAAAGTGTTTTTGCTGAATTGACTGATAATTGCTTGCAGTTGAACAAAAAACCAATTGAAATACACTCTTTAACCACTTCTTTGAAATATTAAAGGCTAAAAATTTCAACATCAGAATTACAAGTAATAATTTATTACAATGATATTGTCAGTAAAACAAAATGTATAAATACATGGATGTGGAATTAACAACAATAATACAAGAACAATAATTCCAAATTAATAGGAACCACAAGTTCAAATTATAGTCTATGACTAAACATGTGCTAGAGTGGCTAAGCCCAACAATATTCATATCTATATACAACAGCTAACAGATAATCAAATTCAAGGAGGTATTTGCTGCTTAAGAAACTCTTTGGTAGTAGAGATAATTGTTGGTGATACATAATCTTGTGCACACCATTGTGAAGGATGTCAAGCTTCTAAACACATCATTGTAAAATATTTCATAAGTTGATTTCATACAATCTTTGTATATCTTACATTAAATCATAGTTAGATACTATTTAACTTCCTGCTGACATTCACCAATCCAAAGAAACTCAAATAAGAATTCCTTTGTATAAATTAATAAAAAACCAAATAAAATTATCATTTTTAAAACTATTGATTCCCTAGATTAAAAGTCAATAGGTGGGACCATAATTTAATCCCTGCAGCAATTTAACATCTTGATGTTTCGGCAGTGTTACTGAAAGATAATTTAGGCACAGTTCTAACACCTTTTCAACAAGATTGCAGTAGGAATAGTCGTATATTGGTTCTGGTATAGAACAGCACTTGCTAATTTAAACCCAATTTAAAAGAATGATTATTGAAATAGAATATTCTGTTATAAATTATTTGCCCTGGCAATTTAAATACACTACTAGTGGTTTTTTGTTTCTTAGCCTAAATGCTGTTTATTTATTTCAGTTTTACAAAGTAAAAAAAAACTATAGGATATAAAATATTATTTAAGGTATTATTTTACTAAAAGCACAATATTATTACTTCAAAGTATTGTTCCTACGTTACTCGTCTGTTGTTATACATTAAGTTAATACATAATTACAATAAAACACTGGACTAATCTATTATATTTCAGACATGATTGGATTAAGGGATTGACCTCGAAGTTAAACTGTCTCTCTCTTGTCAAAACCCTGCATTTCCATGGCAGTATCATTTCTAAGGCACTCATACTGGGACTAAGATTTCATTCACCATTAGATTACACCATATTCATTATAAAACTTTATATTTTGTTTGACCATTACGTATGTTGTTTAGTGTCTTTCCGGTTTATAAAACTTACCTAACGAAGATTAAATACATTTTTGTTGTTAAAAAATGTTTAAAGTGGTGAAGAGAAGGATAAAGTTGAAACTTGACATGTTAGTCAAATTTACTGAGACGTTTCAATACCAGGTTAATAAAATGGTATGTAACAAAATGGTATGTGTAAACAATAAACATACAAATTAATTGCTAAACATACTTGTGCAAATTAATTAGGTAACATATTTCTTTTGAATGTATAAAGGGTGGTTTGAGTCAAGTAATTGCACTGTTCAAGGCACGGATGTCAACCATTTAAATTTATCTTATTCAGATTAAAGTAATCTTGCAATTTACATTAATATAACTTATGAAAACATCTTTTACTATTTAAGTTAGATTTCCCCATCAAAATGTTACCTTGAAAATTCAACTTTAAGCCTTTTTAATTCAAATCTCTAGCTACTCACTTTAGTAATTCCAACAACCCAATTTTACCTCTCAAAAGATATAATAAATGCTAATGGTGTAAAGAGTTGTATAAACTCATTGGAAAACTAAATCACTATAATACAATAAAATACAAAATAAAACACACAGAACAAAAACCAATATAAGCAATCAATATGTCTAGTTTATTAAATTGACTAAATATAGAAAATGTAAATTATAGGAAGAGGCAACTACTCATAAAAATAAGTTTCTTGATTTAGGCCTATAATTTTACTAAAAAAGAAACAAATATTCACAACAACAATTTACTAACAAACAAAACTAAAAACTGTAAAGACCTTAAGATCTAAATCAGCTGGATGCAACAATTATAAGATCAATAAATTAAGGGTATTACAAAATTTGGTACTTACGTATTATACGGAGGCCACTTATTTTACAGCGCGCTGCGGCGGTTGGGTTAAGTTGGGTTATCATAAAAATGTTTGTAGAACTTTCCTAGTTTTGTTATGAATCGAACTATACGAGATGAGTCATAAAAACTTATGATAACCCAACCTAACCTAACCGCCGCAGCGCGCTGTAAAATAAGTGGCCTCCGTATAATACGTAAGTACCCAAACTTTTTCCCCTCGCTTGAAATAATAATTAGCAAAGTTAAAACATACTTTGAAAATTAATATGACAAATTTGATAAAATATTAGCTAGGTTGGCAAATTATTTTTTAACTTTCTATTATTATAGATAGCTTGAGAAAATACTGTAACAGTAACAAATCCAGGGTACTATACTACTATATGAGGAATTTGAGAAAAAATATCTAAAACCAAAAATATATTGTACACTTGAACTGAAAGTGAATTTTTAAAAACTATTACCTAGCACATAGTAATCTATTTCAAAAACATAATTAAGAAAATATTGCCTTTAAATGATTCACTTTTGGTTGCACAACTATTCTTAGGAACAATCCACTACCATCCAACCAATCAAGTTCTTCACCGGTCCCTACTAGAAGGTGAGTTAGACTGGTAACTGTGCAGCAGTAGTGAAGAGGCAGGGTTATCTCATGGAGACATTCTTGCGTCTACTCTGCCACATCTCATACTTGGAGTAGGCTGCCGTCAACAGCTGGTTCATGTGGCTAGTCAGCTGTTGGCTCAATGGTGAGAACTCAACTAACACTCGGTCCTGTAACACCGTTGATGAGTTTGATTTATGTATGTAATTTATATTAAATGTATGTTTCTCTCTCTTAACCAAACCTCAGATACCTAAAAGCTCGCTTCAAACAGGCAACTACGTAAAAATACCAATGTAAAAATCTAAAATCATTAAAATTGCTTATATGAATAAAAATCTGATCTCTGATTAAGGCTTGATTTAACAATATTTTTCAAAATAAGTTTTTCAAGTTAAAAAGGATGCACAGTTTGTTATTGTGTTGGTGACATAACTGTACTGAAGAAAGAAGATTTGTGATCCGTCTCCTATACTATAGTACCTTGCCTATATTGATTGCCTACCTACGGATGACCACTTCGCCTTCTTTAATAGTATTTTAAGCTACGGTATTTTGCTGTGGGGCTGTGGTCATGATGTCAGCAGGATCTTGCTCCTACAAAAGAAGGCTTTTCTTCTTACCCGACTTTAGTTTTTAGTTTCTGACTAATGTAGACATGTGTAACTTACATTGCTGTTTAAATTATTTGTAGCCAAGTTATTGAATTGACCCTAATTAATATGCTATCCACTGGGCATTTTATCCTTGCAGATTATTCAGACTTCTTAGCCTAAGTTACTCTCATATTGACCTCAACTATACAAAATGTTCTTTTTGTAATTTGTTGTAATAAATTCTTGATTCTTGCACATTAAACTTTTTTTAACACATTGAATGCAGGCCAGTCACCGAGGAACGGCCACCAGACGTATGGCGCAACCTTGTGAAAAGGACCCTTATTGCCTGTGCTTTGCTAGCGTTACATGACATATACTGTGTGTTTTGCCCGCTGTCCCACGGATTGGTGCCGGTCTCCCAAGACCAGTAAATACACACTTGCATAATTTATTGACTTTGAACATTTATTTACATATTTATTTGGTGTTTTTTTTCATACGACTCAAGAAATATATTGTATTGTTTATTATTTTAGATTAGGTGCCTTTTAATAAAGATGGGCTCCCCAACACCAAATTGTTATCAGCATTTCCATGATTCACTGTGATTGAAATAGTAAACAATGGTTGGGAGGAAGGAAGGGGCTGTATATAATTCTAAATGTTAGTTATAGTGCTATTTAACATTTTTGTGTGAATGTCAATGTTAAATGTCATTGCCGGCCCAGTCAACAGTGACCGCCGATTTTAGTCACCATTTTTATTGAAAAAAAAAAAACAGCTCCCCTTCTGGCAAAAAATACCCCCGCCGCAGCAAACCTGCCGTCTAAGCGAATTTCCATTTGGCCGAATTGATTTTCAATTGATCTATTTAAATAACATTAGGTTTAACGAGTACCTAGGTTTGCTGCTACAAGGAAACTAATAAAGTAGTGTGTTTTTAGTAAAATATTGATAGCTTACTATAAAATAAATAAATTTGCCAAGTTTGATCAAAATATATCCATAAACAAGCAAACTACAAAATTTTACAATATTCTCCATAAGAATAACATGGGAATTTTAAATTTACAATTTTTTTAGTTTTCTCCATAACCAATAACCGTACAAAAACACTTTGATATACTGAATTGTTTGTTTTTTTAAGCTCTTTAAGGAGGTTTAGAGAAAAATTGGGAAATTTTGTGTTTTGAGGGTAAAAAGTGAGAAAACCAATTTTTACCCCATAAAACCCCCCATAAAACCCTGTTCCCATGGTCCGATCATGCTGGATCGCGAACTCATTCAAGTTTATCCCGCCTTACACCTTCAAACCAAATTTCATCAAAATCGGATAAAAATTACTCAAGTTATCGTGTTCACGGACACATATATATATATATAAATCTATATATATATATATATATACCTATATATATATATATATACATATATAAAAATTTGAACGAATGGTGTTTTTGGCCTCTGGGGACATTAAAATGAAAAAGTAAATCGGTCCCGGGCCTAAGTCTTACCATGAGACCTACGGTAATAGCTACTTCCCTATAGGGAAATTCGCTAAAAAGAAAGATTTTATGTAAACAAAAATTTCAGACCCACTGACTTACTGACTCAATGTTTTAAAAAAAAAAACTGCTTTGTTGGAAAGATATAATAATCCGATCAACGGTTGATGCAGTGTCAATTAAGGGAGGATCTACTGTACTGTATATTCTTAGCTATGCTACAGTTTAACTGCGGAATAATATATAAATGGGCAAAGGTTTAACTACACAATGTTAATTCCATATACATCATATGAAATAACTCTAACTAGACTAATAATTTACCTCGAAGGGCTTGAGCTTGGCTGAGTGGAAGCGATGCAGAGCGTCGTGCATTTTCTCCACCTTTTCTTGCAGCTGGGGGGTGGTGGGGGGGAAACACAGCCAGAAGTGGCGCAACAGCTCACAGCCACTCAGGTACAAGTTGCGCAGCTCCTTCTCAAGTGGCGCAGGCACCAGTTCTATAATATTATGTTGAAATTTTAATTTTAATTGTATACAGTAGACCATCTATAATACTGCGCCACTTCAGTAATCCGGCATCTTTTGACGGGTGTGGTCTTCTGCGATCGCAGCAAAATTCATTATTACAAAAACAGACTGGAGTCCAATAATGCGTAATCACGAGGTTAATCAGTGCACAGCATGTTTTTGTTTGACATTGAGTAACTGTATTGAAGCCTCAACAAAAACAATTAAAAATCACTCAACAAGATTTAAAAAGATAAAGCCTTGGATTACCGTAGATCTCATTAAATTAATTCGAAAACGAGACAAGTTAAGTAAAAAGATCAAAACCCAACCTTTTAATATATTACTTCTAGATAGATTCAGGGCCCTGCGCCTATCTTTAAATCAAAACATCAAACTCGCAAAGAAAAATTATTATAGGGGTAAAATTTCAGAATCTAACAGGGATCCAAAATTATTTTGGGGCATAGTTAGTGAAATATCAGGCAGGAATTGCTCTAAGGACCATTTTCCATTTGAAAAAGTTGTACCTGGTTCTTCGAATAATGTGAACATGAAGACTAAAATAGCAAACAATTTCAATAAGTTCTTTACATCAGTAGGTTCTAAATTGGCCAACTCAATCAATGCAGCTGGGGCTCCAGTCGTAAACGACGCTGACTTCTCACTCGAAACGAATTTCACATTCAACACGGTCACACACGCTGACATAGAACGTTACGTCCAGGGTCTGCGCGGAGGGTCTGCACCTGGCCATGATGGTATCTCGGCCTTTGTTCTTAAAGAAAACATCCACTCTCTATGTGCTCCTCTTTTGCACATTGTCAATCTTAGCCTGACATCTGGCATATTCCCAAACGAGCTGAAATTGGCCAAGATCATTCCATTGCACAAATCCAATGATTTCACAGACATGAATAACTATCGTCCGATTTCTTTGTTAAGTGTAATCGCTAAGCTATTAGAGAAAATTTCTAAAGACCAACTTGTTTTTTACCTCCACCAGTGCAATATTTTAAGTGAAAATCAGTATGGTTTCAGGAGTGACAAAAACATATCTGATGCTTTATTTTATATTAATAAATGCATTAACGAGGCAATTTATGGCAACAAACGAAGTATGTTAATATTTTTAGACTTGAAAAAAGCTTTTGACTCAGTGGACAGAAACCGATTGTTGCGTAAACTTGAGCTTGTCGGGGTGCGCGGCACCTCGCTCGCTTGGTTCAGCAGCTACCTCTCTGATAGGCTACAAACTGTCGCACTTGGTGAAGTGTCAAGCGATGTTTTGCCAGTGGAGTATGGTGTGGTCCAGGGTTCGACACTTGGTCCTGTTTTATTCCTCATTTATATTAATAATATTTCTAAAATTCAAACAGAAGGAAAATTAACATTATTTGCTGATGATACTCTAATATTTGTAACCGGATCATCCTGGGAGGAGGTTAAAAACAAGGCTGAATCAGACCTCTGTTTGCTAAAAAAATGGCTTGACCAAAATGTATTGTCTCTTAATATAACGAAAACCAAATTCATGCAAATTTCTTTACGCAAGATAACCGAATACAAACTTGATAACCTATCTATTCATGTCTGTGGAAGTCATTCCAATAACTCTTGTTTTTGTAGCAAAATTGAAAAAGTTGATTCATACAAATATCTTGGTATTGTTTTTGATTCAAAGATGAAATGGTCGGAACATGTTGAATATCTAAAAAATAAATTACGTAAATATATTTATGCATTTAGGCAACTTGGTGATATACTCGAGGAGCAAGAAATTAAAATAGCATACTATGCATATGTTCAATCATTGTTATCTTGTGGAATTATTGCTTTTGGTGGTGCTTACAAAACTATTTTGCAACCTGTTTTTGTTGTACAGAAAACAATACTTAAAGTTGCTTTTAAAAAACACTTTAGATATTCAACTGACGACCTTTTTGTAGAAACGGGAGTTTTGACAGTTAGACAGTTATTTTTAAAATTTATTTTAGTTCACATGTACAAAAACTTTGATGATATTTTTATAAAAATTACTCATCCACACAATACGCGCTTTTCTCGAAATGTTGGTATAAATGTTCCACAAACCTTAAAATCATTTTCACATACGAATTGCTTTCACTTAACCCAAATCATTTATCGTAACATGTGTAACAGATATCAAAATGTCAACATTCTAAATTCACCCTCTCTCTCTATTTTAGCATGTGGTAGCGTGGCTTGTAGGACTGAGTGCAGAGGACACCGTGGCCGTTATCACGCTGGGCGGACCTGACCGTTGACCCTACACTCCACTACACAACACAATCACTGATACACCACCTTCACTGACTGGCCAACACACCACATTCCACCTCTCCTCTTCAATCTTCACCTGATTTTTATAAATTTCCTCAGTATTGTACAAATAGTTTATTTTTTATCGTCAATTATTTCCAGAACACTAAAAATTCAGTTTCAAGCAAGAACATTTTTTTTTTAATTTAAAATTATACTAATTATTTTTTGTTTTCCTATTCATTTTTTTACCTCCCATCTAAATTAACCTTTTCGCAACTCGAGTCTACGCACAGGCCCTGCCTATGTAGACTTTTTCCTCTGTTAGAACGTATTTTTTTTCACTTTTTGGCTTTATTTCTACAGAATTTATTTTTTTGTTTTGTATCTAGTTGTAATGTTTGCTGTAGTATATTTTAAGTAAAAAAAAATACAATGTAATTATATGTATATAATTTATGGGAAATAAAATATTATTTCATTCATTCTTTCATTCATTCATTCATTCATTCATTCATTCATTCATTCATTCATTCATTCATTCATTCATTCATTCATTCTGATTACCTCTATCCGTGGCCGTGTAAAAATCATCATCGACTCCCACTGCCAAGGAAACGACATAGTTGTTTTGCACGATCGGGGCAAAATCATGAACATCTCCCGCAGTCATGGAAATGCCATCTGAGTTATGTGCGATCGTGGCAATAGAGGTTTCTGAGTGGGCACCCAGGCAAGTCCGGGTGAATGTAGGAGCAAACAAAACGCGGACTCTGGACGAGGGAAGAGGCACGAGGAAAGATAACAGCAATAAGATCTCGCTAACATCAACTTTTCCATTATCCGATTTGTGGAGAAATGTCAGCATTAGTACATCCCGTCGACTCTATAAGCTCTTCATTTCGAACAGATCCAGTAATATAGGATATGATTATGTGTATGATCATCTGTTGAATGTTGTTGCTAAGATTCAAAATTTAACAGAAAATGTAAAAAGAACTTTGCAACTCAAATAAAACAGTTGTATGCCGTTTCTATTAGGTTGCACAGAGGTCATATTGCAGATTGCTAATCACTTAACAGTATGAATATTTTGTCAAAAGTATATTTACAATGGCCAACTGTTCCAAAATGATTGTGATGCTATTTGCACAAGTGAAAATCAACAATAATTGGCGTACACTACACTTCTGATTAACCGAGATTGTTGGGACCGAGACTACCTCGGTTACCAAGAATCTCGGATAACACAGAGGTCACATAGATTTTGAGGTTAGGGTTACAGTACCTTATTATATTTTAAAACAACACATAGGGAATGAAAGATGATAATATGTAAGAAGATGTAGCTAGACAAGATGCTTACAGTAGACACTACGGGTGAGTTTATTAAGGCAATACTAACGTGCTAGTGACTCGTCGTGGTAACACTTCATGAGGGCGCCGCCAGGGGTGAGCTCGCCCAGGGCAGACACAGCCGCAGCTGGAGGTACGAGGGGGGCTGAGGGACGAGACGTTGCCCCCCACCCCCCTGCCTCCTGCTGCAGACGGCCCCAACAACTCAGCACAGCCTCATCCCCTCCCCACACCTCACTGTCGTCACTAGCAGATGGTGTGGGGCCGTGCAGATACCTCTCCACCTACAACCACAACTACTTTAGGAATCTTACATCATGCACCTTTTATTTAATTTCAGCAAATTTCCCATATATGAAATCACCTACTAACCAAATTAGGCTAGCACAAAAACTTGAAAAAAAATTATCTGATTTTGATTAAATTTTGTACAAACATGTAAATCCGTGTTTATTGGGACAAGTTCACAGACCAGCATGATAGGAGTGTGGAAACAGAATTTTATGGGGGTAAAAATAGGGGTTTCCCACTTTTCACATTTAAAACTTAATATTTTTAAATCTCTTTCGGAACCAATTTGTAGAGCTTTAACACATTCACTCCAACCCATCAATGGCAGGCTTAGCCCCGGAGCGGCGCAGCTTCAAACAAACCCGATTTCCAGGAGATTGGCTTTCAAATTTTGGTCTGACGAATAGCAAATAACAACATGCGGTGATGTACTGCCTTACGACGAGTCAACATAGTTCACTAAAACACCTATAGGTAGCAGAAATCTTGAAACAAAGCCAGCCTCAGTGTATTGCCAATTGGAGGGAGAAAGATGGGTCCAGTAGATTTCTAAGCTTGCTAGACAGGGATTTTACAGGGTAATTAACTGCCAACCTACACCACAACAAGCAAGTCACAGACTACACGCTAAAGTGTTTTAGGTCCTCCAATGGAACTCTATTTTTGTTCGGCTGGATACCTTGGACAGTATTTCAGAACAAATAGTGTTTATGTTAATTTTATAGCGTAACCTTTTCTTCCCAACAGGTGGTTTGAATTCTGAAATGCCTAGAGTATAAAAGAGCAGTTTAATATATATAAAACATACAGTCCAAGTTAATTTAGGCTACCACTAACTGTACTTTATCAACTCTCTTTTAATCTGTTTAGTATTTAACATAAAAATGTCATAAGAATGACTTATATTGCAGAACACAACACTTAAAAAAATAAGTCAACTTTCAAAACTCAGCAAAAATTAGGCTTTTAATAAAGAAAAGTTCACCTTAGTTAGGTTCAGGTGAGACACCGACGGAGTATTGGAGCAACTGGCATCAAGATCTACATAGCTGATCTTTTCACGAATTCTCATCTGCAGACAAAACTAAATGTTAGTTTCACCAAATAAAAAAAAAATTATATTAACAGTAGCCAAATCAAATATATATCTAGCATATTTAATAGATCCTTCATGAAAAACCAAATTCAAAATGTAGGCCTATTGAATATACACAAACTTTAAGGGTAAGTTTAAAAAATAATTAAGTTCAGAAGTTGTATTTATTCAGGATGCAGACTGGATCCTGACCTTGACAACGGTGTGCATGCGCCTTGCCCGTGTATTCTATATGTATAATAGGCCTATTAAAAGTATTTTTGTTTTCGTAATGTTTTCGTCCCGTCCGTGTGTGTGTGTTTGTGTATGTACTTTTAGTAGGAAATATTTATTTATTTATTTATTTACTACATGTCATTACATCATTTTTTGACAGGACATAAAGTCATATACAGGATATACTAAAACTAAGAAATAACAATAATGTCTTACTAAATTATTAATCTAACTTAACGTCCCTATTTAAATAACATTCTATAGAAAAAATTTTTTTTGTTTTTAACCAGGTCTTCAGGGTGGATCTGAACTGTGTTTTACTATCAATATTTTTTATGCGGAGTGGTAACTTATTGTAAACTTGTGGGCCTATATATTGGGGAGATAAATGAAATTTCTCCAATCTATGGGTTTCAGGCTTAATATAACTCTTAAATCTAGTGTGGTGGGAATGAATGGGTTGGTTCATGAATGAGGAGAGATTGTCTTTAACCCAATTTGAAATTTCTAAAATATAGTGATCATAAAATGTTAAAACCGAAAATGTTTGAAAAAGACTTTTACAAGGAGTTCTACGAGGAACTCGCCCAATAATTCTAATTGCTTTTTGTTGAAGTTTGAATATTTTTTTGGAGTGGCATGAGTTTCCCCAAACCAGAATACCATATGTCATTATTGAAGAAAAATAAGCATGATAAACTATAAGCTGAGTCTTCAAGTCAACAGCTTGTCTGATTGCACGAAGAGAGAAAATACAGCGGTTTAAGCGTTTAATCAAATTAACAACTTGTGATTTCCAGTTAAGATTTTCATTGACAGTTATACCTAAAAAAATTCACATTTTGCTGCAGTGGCATTTTAGATTTTGATGTTGTAATTTTACCTGTTTTATATTGATTATTATTAGAACTAAACTCTATAAGCTGAGTTTTATCATCATTCATAACCAACCCATTCACCTGGAACCAGTCTCTGACAACACAACAAGGATTTCACCATCCAACTGCGATGTTCCAATGGCCGATACAAGCCGAAACATGTAAACAACGTTCTTTTCAAAATGAGCTGTTTGTCGGATTTATAAGGTATGTAACCTATTTATTATATTGAATACAACAGCTCAGGAGCTAGAATGGAAATGAATTTTAATTCTAAGTTACAAGTCTATCACAACAATTACTATAAATAACACAAACCATGACATTTAGATACTCACTTTCTTAGCCTGTACTTCGTGAGGGTCAGCACTGGTGCTGGGTACTTCACCATTCATCTGAGGCAATTGACTGGTTCCGTTGACCTCAGGCTTGGCTGCAGCTGGCTGTTGACACGCCTTCAACACCATAATGGAGTGTTGGTTGAACCTAGGTAACAAACGCCTCATGAACAGTCTTGAAGAAGATTTAGGCCTACTTTAATTATGCAGCAGAGTTGGGGTTGGATTTCAGGTGATTCTACGTTGCAAAGGATAATCTTATATTGGACTAATCGTAGGGTAGTGACGGAGGAGAGTGTTGAAAATATAGAGATTCATAATTTAGTTTCCCATTCAAAATTATTGACAATAATAACCAATTTATATGCTAGATATAAATTATGGTCTCGAATATTCTACATTACTGCGGGAAAGGAAATTTATTAATTACTTTGTAAGAGTTTGAAATATTTAAAAACATAATACTAGGGACAGCACACAAATTCTGAATGAAAACACTCGATTAATTATGAATCCAATTATATTTTCAACACTCTTCTCAGTCACTACAATATTCCAATATGAGCTGTTGAAAACGCAGACGATAATCCAGAGACCATGTCGGTCCATCATAACCTTAACCTGATCTAGTTTACACTCAGTCTTACTGACGGCAATTAATACGCGTGAATCGATAGGCCTATCTGTAATCGTTTTGCGTTAAATGTTGTAACGTACACTGACATTGGATCTAGTGTGTCCTTTACGTCAGCACATTCATTAAACACAACAAGCAGACTTCATTAATTAAAATAGGACGAGTCTTCTTGTAGTAGAGTGAGTATTGGTTGTATGGGCTATTAATTAACAGTCCTGTCTACGGAATATGTCGGCCTTAGTCAATAACAAGACTACAAGATCGCGCCACACTCATCTCCATTCATACTTGGCTTATAATACCTACCTTCGTATGGCAGCCATTTCAGGTAAAAGTATCAAGTACACAGTTGAGGACTTTACTCACCTTTTTATCATATTTTGGTGAACAATATTTTGAGTCGCAGCTGGCCTTTCTAATGGTTCATCACCGATTTTATCGTCAAAGGATGTAATGTCCAAAAGAGGATCACTGACTCCATTTGACATTACTTTTTTCATTTCTGAAAAAAAATTGATATAACCTATTATATAAAATTGTATTCTGGGCTGGGCAGCTTGAAGAAATAACAGCTATTTATCTTTACTACTAACTCTGCTACAGTACTTAATGACGTAAAATGTAACTACAGACAATGCCTCTAAAGTTTGATGGAATTTGAAAAGAAAATATGAACATTGAAAACCAATCACAAATAAATGCTACTTTAATTTGATTCTAAATGCTTCAAGTAGGGTACAGTAGAACTCAAATCGACCAAAGCAATTGGGACCAATATATTTGGGTAATCAAAAATCCCGATAATTGCATTTTTACCAAAATTCAGAGTCTTATAAAGAAAAGATGCAGAGTCATGGTGAGCTTCTATTGCAATTGCAGAACGCGTCTGCCACTATTTCGCGATTGGCAATTTTACTCTTTTGGCCCGATTTTGGAGTATGATTTTGATCTTCCGTGACCGCGGTAGATGATGGTGTCTACACGACCGTGAGAATTAATTAACATTTTGCTGTGATTGCGAAAAACTATGACAATGTTATGACCGCGGGTGACGATGATGACCTGTCAACACAACTGTGGGATATATTTATCATTTTGCTACGATAAAAAAAGAAGAAGATGTTTCCGTGACCGCGGGAGACAATGTCAACACAATCGTGAGACAGGTTTTGGATTTTGCCACGATCACAGCCTTTTATGATTCTTATTAGGCCTACTGTGGTTTAAAATCTTTAAATTATTTCTGTAGGCCTAAGCAATTAGGATAATCGGAGATTCGGATAGTTGAAGTTCCGATAGTTGGGAGTTCTACTGTAGGTGAATTTAAAGCTATTATTTGTTGTTTTAAAATAATAATGTAGATCTTAATTTTTATTTAAATGCCTCTGACATTTTGAAAGAAGACTTTTAGGGAAAGTGGTCCATCCTAGCGCTGGCAATGAATCCGTTATCAGTTCTTCCTGTTGTACTACTTCTCAATTTAAACTAAAATAGATAATACCCCTCCCCACTTATACTAATGTATTTTACAACCTACACACCTAAATAAGTTATCAACATACCTTGATCATCTAGTTTGGCACATTCGGTGAACAAATCTTTAGAGCTTGTAGTGATTCTATCTCTGTGGAAATAATGAGACTGGAAAAATTTGGTCCAAAAGTCAGCTTCAGTCATTTTGTGAGGGACATATTCTATATGTTTTTTGCGAACTGCTGGATAAGTCTTGAATATACAATCAATAATGTCTGCAGTAAGATTGTACTTGAGCCCATTACATCCGTCTGTTTGTGGTTTGATGTCAGCCTGAAATAATGTTTTGGGTTAAAAACACCAACCCAATGCATGTCAATCGAAAGATTCAATTAGGCATCGCTAAACTAGGAAAACTTAAGATTAATAGATTAACATTTTTTTAAGAACCATTGAAATCATCCACACTAACTTGACCTCATGGGTTTCTTTTCTGTGCTCATAGGGTTTATAATTTCTGTTTATAAATTTGTATTATTAGCATAGTGTAACAGTGTTTAGGCTATATCAAATTAGTAACTCTCTTTATGTCAGTTTCCAAAGTCAAAAACAGCCCAACTCAATTCACAAATTTTCTATTACTTTGATTTGTGGATTTATAGGAGGTCAAAATCCCCAGTAAATCTAAATACATTTTTTCCGGCCATACAGTGGTAAAGAAGTCTGAAATTATTGTTAACCCTAATATTACTGAAGTTACAACTGACCAAAAAAGCGCCTGAGACCCCAACTTCTTGTTTTTGATTATTCTGCTTTTGGGTATACTGGGACGCGTGTTGTGCCCAGAACTCTTCTGGTGAAATGACTTGTGTTATGACAAGATCTCTATACAACTGGAGCAGCCCAGGGTTTTCAGACAACAGCCTGAAATAAATAGAAAACATTTATTATAAGTTATTTAATTAACAGGGTTGGTACTGATTTTGGAAAATGAAATTCCCTGACTTTTCCAGGTTTTCCAGACTGATATTATACTTTTTCCAGGTATACCGTAAGACGATATCGAATAGTCAGAATCAAGAATTATTAGAAAAAATGTAGGCCTAAATAGTTTACTCATAAAACCAATAAGAAAAGAATTAAACATCTGGAATCTGGAAAATGAAGAGTACCAACTAACTTAACCTCACACTTTATGTTCTACTTGGCCTTGACTTGACACTAGCAGATAGACGATACGGTGCTTCTGATACTGATATATATCGATATTTTGCTTGCGATATCATCGGCTTATATGGGAAGAAACATGTGATATTGGAAAAATAACTACCATGTTTCAACTAACAGGATAAACTTTTTTTTATAAACTCCTACAAGTGCAGTTTTTTTTAGTTTATTAAAGGCTGAATCAGTATTGGTATAAATTCAATGAGGAATTGTATTCAGTATCGTATTGAAATTGAAATGATGAATGTAGGCCTATCCTTCTGCGCATCGCGGTACTAGCAGTGTTTCCATACGTGGGATTATTATCCCGAAAACAAGATTTTTAGAGCATGAGCAGGATTAAAAAGGGGATGTGGGATAAAACAGGAGTTTTGGCTATGACGTCCGTTTTTATTTACTATGCTTTATTTTAGTGAAAAACTAACCCCAATCAAAAAATTACCTTAACAAAATATAATAGCAATGTTAAAACAACTATTTTAACACAATATGTCTAATTTAGCACTCAGAATTTAACATCAAAAATCTTAAGCGATTAAACGGGATTTCTTAACCCAGTGACCGGGATTATATTCTTTTGGTCGTGTAGAAACACTGGGAGCTCGGTGCGTTCAATTGAAGCCAGTGATGATAAAAGAGGGTGATGATAAAATGTCTGTCGATGTTCGATGTTTTTTATATCGATGGTAGGTTCCCGATGTTTTTGTTACATCGATGTTTTTGTTACATCGATGTTTTCGTCAAACTTCAATGTTTATGACCAAGTATTGAGACGTAGATGCAAAATTTAGCATATCTGTAAAAAATGTAGTCTTTCAAGAGAAATTCCAGATTTTTTCCAAAATTCCCTGACTTTTCCCTGACTTTTCCAGACCAACAAAATTCCCTGACATTTCCAGGTTTTCCAGGTTTTCCCTGACCGTACCAACCCTGATTAAAGTCAGTGTTAAATGAATTTAAGGGCCGTTGTCACAAAATGGGATAACCTATGTCTCATGAAAAAAAACATAAATAAAAATGAAAATAAAAGCAAATAAATGAGCACACTTATCTCAATACCTTATTTCCCAATATATATTCCATTACATTTCTGCCATCGTAAATAATTTTATAGTTTTTATAGGATATAGAAGCATATTGGCACTATCTGACATTTACTGCGATGTCAAAGTTGGAATAAATCAAATAAACAGTTTAGAGGTTTGAGTACAGGTTACGTAATGCGAACTTTGCTATTCCATCATCTGTTCAATCCAACATCTGGTTGAAATAAAATTTTCAATGCAAAACATCTGTCAAACTGAGTAAGAGAACGTCAAACTGAGAGAGCCTGTGAAATCGTTAAAAAAATTATTTCGAGGGGGATCAGTATACAGTCTCATGAGTAGTAATGTGTGCAACATTGGGAAGTTACTTATTATTCAGCAAAACCAACTATTTTGGACTAATTAAACAATGTGTTTAAGAAACACCCAGTACCTTTATTATGTTACAGTTTGGTCACTCATATTATTCCTTAATGTTTCAATAAAATTCCGAAAAACAAAGTTGGGTGGTCTGCCAAAATGTGCACAAACATAACCTCAAAATGATGTGCAGTCCCACTGACTACGCTAGGAGCTATTTCAATGAATGGATCAAATTTACAGTCCTCTCACAAACAGTCCGGTTGTCAAATAAAGAAGTTTAATATTGATTAACAATTTTTATCTTAGGAATAAAATGTTACCAACTGAATTATTTGTAAATACAATACAAAAACAATCTCCAGATGATCTTAATAATAACTAAATAAATATTAAAGAACAACAAACATATGACATCTTCTCTTCCCTTTTTTTAAAGACATGTTCTTCTTGGTGGATTTATTTGTCTACCAAATGAGGAAAAACAATTAGGCTCAGTTCCAGGGTCATCAGATGTTTTGGGTTGTAGTTGTCTTAGCATTACCCCGTTGCGACGTAACATGCCTTCGTTTGTCTTAACTGTGTATGATCTTGGAGCTACTTTATTAACTATCTTCCCATCTTCTCTCCTATCAGGAATATACACGTTGCATCCAAAAGTGAATTGCTTTTCATCTCTCACTCCATGCCGTTTATTGAAGTAATCTGCTTGAGTTGCTCTATATAGTTTGTCCAATTCTCTAAATGTCTTGTGATCTACCATTTTAGGCTTGAGATCTTTCGTCAATGACGGTAGTCGGGTTCTTAGTCTTCTTCCCATCAACAATTCCGAAGGGCTGTACCCTGATGGACCTGGTGTTGTAGTCCTATTTGTTGTGTACTGTAATGCCTGTACTCCAGTAATGCAAGAGTGGGGTCTTTGTTCTTTGTAAGCATCTTTTTAAGCGTTTGGACTACTCTTTCAGCTTCACCGTTTGCCTGATGGTGTAAGGGACTACAACAAATAGTTTTAAACCCAAAATCGGCTGCAAAGGCTCTCCATTCTGAGCTTGTAAACTGTGAGCCAGAATCAGAAATTACGATTTCAGGGATCCCATGTCGAGCAAAACAGGCTTTCATCTTCTTGATTAGTTCATCTACAGTCATTGTAGATACATTTATCATTTCCAAGTACCGTGAATAATAGTCCACAACAGCCAAGTATTTGCCTTTCATAAAGTCAAAGTAATCAACTGCTATTCTTTGCCATGGATAGTCAGGAGTGTCTGATTGAATCATTTTTTCTGACTTTTGGTTTTGGTGTTTAGCACAAGTGTCACAATTTTCAATCAAGTTATGTATCTCTGTTGTAATTCCTGGCCAAAACACAGATTGTTTCGCTCGGAGGACTGTGCGTGTAGACCCAAAATGACCATCGTGCAGTTTATTAATGATATCTTTTCTAAGTTCAAATGGGATAATAATTCTTTCTTTATAACATATCAAGTCTTCTATTATAGATAGGTCGTCTTTAAAGGTATACCACTTTCTCATACTCTCTGGCACATCCTTCTTATATTTAGGCCATCCATTTTCTGTGTATTTCACCAACATCTGACATTCTTCACACAGGATCTGGGCATTCTTTATTTGTTCCAATCTTGACTGTGTTGCTGGAAAGTTTAAAGATATTACCTTAATGTGTGCCTATACCTCTTTTGTGAACTCATCTGTAGAATCTGGGATCGGCGCTCGGCTTAATGTGTCTGCTGTAAACATTTCTTTTCCGGGAATGTGTTCGATGGAGTAGTCAAATTTCATCAATCGCATTTTGAATCTCTGAATCCTAGCTGGTATTGTGTCTAGGTCTTTGCTTCCAAGGAGCGAAACTAATGGTTTGTGGTCTGTTAGGATTCTAAATTTTTTTCCGACTAAAAACTTAGAAAACTTTTCTGCGGCCCATGCACATGCAAGAGCTTCCTTTTCTATCTGGGCATATCGTCTTTCACAGTCCTGTAAGGTCCTTGAAGCAAACATCACTACTTTGGGAGATTTATCTTCAACCTGAAGTAACATTGCACCCAATCCATATGCTGATGAATTGGCTATAACAATAGCTTCAGCATTTACATCATACTTAGTTAAAGATATTGATTCATTGACGGTCTGTATAATGTCTGAAAGGGCTTCTTGATGTTGACTTGTCCAACAAAATTGTCTATTCTTTCTAGTAAGCTCACGGAATGATTCAGTTTTATCAGCTAAGTTTGGAATGAACTTGTTCAGTTGATTCAACATACCATTTAATCGTCGAACTCCCGCAATATCTTTAGGAGGGGGAAGTTCCTCGAGTGCTCGTATACGATCAGGATCGACCTTGATACCATCACAGTCGATCAGGTTTCCAAGAAACTTCACAGATGTTTGAGAAATAGAACATTTTTCTTTGTTCAGTACAACCTTTGCTTTTTTTAAGCGATCTAATACTTGAGTGAGCCGGTAATCATGCTCCTCTTGTGTTCGGCCATGTATAAGTATGTCATCCATGTGACATAATACCCCATCGATACCATTTAAAAGTTTAAACATCTGTGTAGTGAAAAACTCTGGTGCGCTTGTAATGCCAAAGGGTAATCTCTTGAAATAAAATCTTCCGAATGGAGTAATAAAAGAAGTTAATTTAGCTGTGTCAGGTGATATTTTTATCTGCCAAAACCCTGACTGGGCATCTAGTTTTGAAAATATTTTAGAGCGCCCAATTTGCCCTAGTGTTTCTTCTACATCTGGTAGTATTATCTTTGGCCGTTTAACATTCCTATTAAGTTCAGTGTAATCAACACACAAACGTAGACTACCATTGGGCTTGAGTACTGGTACTATTGGTGCACACCAGTCAGTTGGAGACTCTACTTTTTCTATCACTCCTAAGTCCAACATTCTGTTCAATTCTGTCTCCACTTTTGAACGTAAAGGAATTGATATGTTTCTTGGAGCTCGAACCGAGTGCGGTTGAGCGTTTTCGTTCAATTCAATCTTATATTCTCCTGGAATGCTACCCAGACCAATGAAAAGCTCAGGGTGGCTAGTTAATACAGAGTCTAAGGTAATTGAGTTAAGTCCTGCAGTATCAGGTTTTCTGAGGGTTATGAGATTTAAAGATTTAATCGCAGGAATTCCAAGTAAAGGTTCATTTAATCCTGCAACAACATACACCTTTTCTTTTACCATTTTCCCATCGTAAGCTATGTCTGCTATAAACATACCTCTTACATCTAGTTCCCTCTGATCAGCATTCCTAAGTATACGGTCAGATTTCATAAGTTTTGCATGAATTACATTTGAAGGAATGGCTGTAACTTCTGCGCCTGAATCAAGTTTCGCTTTAACTAACTGGTTATTGATAAATATTTCTACATACCAAGAACTGGAGTCATAACATGAAGCATTCACAGGTCCTAAATATGCTACTGAAGCTTCAGTGTTGTCAGGCTTGTCTAAACGTCTTATTTCGTTGAGTCTCTTCGTGCTGTCCGTTGTTTTAGTCTCTAATAATCTGCTTCTGCAATGTTTGGTAAAGTGACCGATTTTTTGGCAGTAATAGCATGGTAAATCTTTAGCAGGGCATAAGTGCCTGGGGTGCATTGGACCTCCACAGTTCCAACAACATTCTTTCCTAGCTGTCTTTAAATCATGGGTTTTGTTAAATCTTGCACTTTGTTTTTGGTCTGATTTGATTCGGTCAACTTCTGCATGTTTTCCTTGGCATATCATTTCTAGTTCAGCTGCTTGTTTGCTGATAGACTCTTTTTGTTTGCATTTTTGAACTGCTTTTTCCAATGTAAGATTTGAATCTTCTTGTAATTGGGCCGATAAACGTTTATCAGTTATACCCACTACAATTCTATCACGTATTAGTTCTGCTTTAAGGTTCTTGAATGAACAGTGTTCGGCCATTGAGCTTATGTCTGCCAGAAATGTATCAAATAATTCATCTGGTTGTTGTGATCTTGAATTAAACTTTGCTCGTTCGTATATGACATTTCTTTTGCCAGTAAATATGTTGTCAAAGGCTTCTGTTACCGATTCATATGAGGCTTTGTCATCTTCTGAGAGGTGTGCTGTTGATAAGATATCCTCAGAATCAGGCCCCATACAGTAAATCAAGCAGCTTACTTGTTTTACTTGAGGTTCATTGTCCAGTCCTGATGCAATTCTATACCTTTCAAATCGCTTAAACCACTTTTCCCATAATTCTGGATATTTTGAATCAAAAGGTTCAGGAGGTTGAAACATGACTGATGTAGTCCTATTTTGCTGCTGTCTTGGTTCTAGAACATTATGTGTTTCTGATGATTGATTTGATTTGTTTCCTCTGATTGGTAATCTATTGTTTTTTGGCATTTTTTTTTTTTTAACTAAACCGCTGCCACCATGTCAAATAAAGAAGTTTAATATTGATTAACAATTTTTATCTTAGGAATAAAATGTTACCAACTGAATTATTTGTAAATACAATACAAAAACAATCTCCAGATGATCTTAATAATAACTAAATAAATATTAAAGAACAACAAACATATGACACCGGTAACGTTAATGGAGCTGTTTTTCACCTTTTCTTCTTTCCTTTTACCAATATAATAAACATTTAACCTTCAAATAGGATAGGATTTTTTGAACCAACGGTGTTTCAAGGTTACCAGTATATTAGGTTTTTCATGGAACAACATAACCTTGTATTTTACATCAAAATAAAATGTGACCAGACTGTTCACCATTACTGTATTTGGTTACATATAAAATAGAAAATATTTACTAATTGAAGGTTTTAAGCTCTGCTGCATTTAAATTTGGTATTCTGATAAAAAAGTTTTAGTTATATGCCAAAATTAGCAAAATTTTTCCATTTTGTGACAATTCAATTCAATATTTCTTTATTCATTAAAGCACAAAGTACATGAATAGTGTCATTCTCTTAAATGTTTTTATATTACAATGTCCTTACATTCTATGGATACAAAGTCCTTAAAATCTAACATAAGTTTAAACAAATTAAAAATTAACACTCCTTCTCAAATTTTAAAGTTCATCAAGGGAATACAATACCTTGTTGATGAGAAATGTTTTAAGACCCCTCTTAAATCCCACCATGCTTTTTGCCGATTTAATTTCATTTTGGAATTTTGTTGTAAAATTTGGAGCCGGTATAACTTGGTTTTTTACTGCAAAGTTCTAATCTGTGGCAGTTTAGAGCAATGTTGGTTTTGTTTCTGGTATTGTAGTGGTGACCCACACAATGACAATGACCCTTAAGATGGTAGGCTATAGGTAACAAATAACACTTCTGGTTTCATCGGCGACATTTATAAAGGCAGGTAAGTTTTAAAGGTTTAAAGTCTAAAAAGTATTGTTGAGTGGACCATTTCCAGGCTCAATTCTAACTTTTTGAATTCAAAAACTTCATAAATGAAATTAATTTTTCCCTGGAACCAACAACTTTTGCTATTTGCCAATTTAGTCCTGTTCTGTTCTTTTTCTTCCAACCGTCGTTTTGTTCAGTAGGTAGTGTACATCAATTTGATTGTACACATTATTTAAAAGCTCTGTTGTAATTTTTTTACCGAGAATTTCATGCGAGGCTAGTTTACACTAGAGAAGTCAAATAAAAATTTGTTCCTTATTAACACTTTTGACGTGCTATTTAACTAACACTATTTAACTTAACCTATATGCATTTATTATAATATGCTGCATGACAAACCCACCTATTTTTCTCTTCTAACTCCTTGTTGACTTTTCTCTTAAACTTTGGTAGAAGCTGGACCAGCAAATCTTTGACTTGATCTCTCTCTTTGATAGCAGCTGCAGGGCCTTGACGGTTTACAAATTGAAATGTTGATGTTGTGTTGTCATGCAGCACTACTTGTAGTTGAATTTTTGGTTTTCCTTCTGGTGAAATCTTTTGCACTGTAAAAATAAAACGCAAATTAAAACTAGTATATTGTAACTACGCACTATGTAGTAAATCACGTCCACCACGAATACTTGAACAGACTGGGTATGGATCATAAACATATACAAATGAAGTTGCTGGCCCGATTCATATATGAATAGCATTAACATATTGTTTGTAAATGCTATTGATATAGGATTCGGGCTAGCAACTTCTTGTTTATGTTTATGATGCATAACGGTTCGGTTCAAGTATTCGTGACATCCACTAACCTGTTGCTCATTTGCTGGACTGTTAGTCCCTGACATCACGTCAGCTGTTTTCGTCATCAGTTGTCAGTGCAGCCAATCCATAAAACTAAATGTCATTTTACTACTTTAATACTAGTAAATAGAAAGTGTTAGTAAACTAACATATAGTAGACTCCCTCTTATCCGGACACCTTTTAACCGGACATCGGTTTAACCGGACTAGATCTGCAAGAAGTGGGAGGTACTGAAACGACTGTTCTCGTGGGAAAGATTTTTGAGACCAGTGATCACGTGTCTAAATACAATGCTCTCCAAAATTTAAGTCAAATACTGTATACAGTATGCATTTAAATGGTCTGTTTTAACAAGTTTTTAGGGACGTCGGTTTAACCGGAAAAACCGTTATCTGGACTGGCCTCGGTCCTGAGGAGTCCGGATAAGAGAGAGTCTACTGCATTAACTTACAAATAGCCTAATTTTAAGCTACTTTAACAGTGGCGGAACTAACTTTGGATTGAGGAGGGGGCAAGATCAGAGGAAAAGCCCCCCAAATCGTCATTGCCCTCTGCAGTCACGGCAAAGCCTGAATAACCCCTGCAGGGCAGTAAAAGAACATCATCCGTCTTCCGCGAACGCGGCAAAAGCAAGAATCTCTCGCAGCGTGTGGACATTATCTCGTTTTCCACATTCGCGGCTAAACTCTGATCATCTCCTGCTCCCAGTCACAGAAACGTCGGTAAAATTTGGTTAATTTCCCGTGGTCATATAAACACCGTCATTATGTCCGACGGTAACGGCAAACCCCTGAATATGCGGTACCTGAATAACCCTTACTGCAAAGTAACATCATCATGCCGTCTTCGCATATTGCAATAACTTTAACATTACATGCAGTAAAAAAATGTTCTGCACGAGGGTGGTCGCCCCATTTGTATCCCCCCTGGATCCACCACTGAGCTTTTAAAGCTGAGTCTACTAGGTCTACATTTTAAATAAACTTGTTTGTGTGTAGCCTAAATTCGTAATTTCAGTTGGTAATTTAACTTATACAGTAGCTTACTTCTTTTTAAATAAATAAAACAATTCATATACAATAGAACCTCGCTAATCCTACCTCGGATGGCCTCGCTTGGTCCGACCGTGTTGCCTACATGATAGGCCTCCGCTCACATAACCTCATTGTTCAAGGAAAATAGGCTACCTAGGAAATTTTATAAATTGTGTTTCTTTTGTCTAATGTGTTGAAATTCATTGTATATTTCTATTTCTGCCCATTATTTATATGCAGTAGGCTCCTACATTATTGTTTTTTGAAAAATCACAGTTCATTTGACAACAATTTAATGGAAGCAAAACAAATAAATGTTGAACAAAGCTTCAAGGTCTACAAATAACCACAGATTGTATTGTTTATTTAGATGTTGTTGTCTATCTGTTTGCACTGACAATCGCCTGCTCCTTAGGCCTAGATGTGTACATCGGTTGGCTGTGCGCTTGCTATGTCACAACATTTTGTGATTGGGTATTTGGTAACATGACAACTTTAGTAGCCTGTGATTAGGTGATTAGTAACCATGGCAATAGGCATGTCGAATGGGTGGATGAAGAGAAACTCAAGAAAAAATAGAAGAACAAAGAGAAAGAATATGTAAGCGATGTTTTTATGTCATTGTTATCTTAATCGGAATTTTTTACGACAGTTGTTATTGTCCATAAGTAGGCTACAGTACAGTAGACTCCCTCTAGTTCGGCCACCTCGGGACAGGACCACTGGCCGGACTACAAAACGGCTGGACTAACCGGCTGTAGTGCATTTTAAATAATCAAAATACAAATAGTATTGCGCAATCGTGATAAGTCATTAACCTTGGTTAATTTAAAACTGTAACGTTTAATATCACGCTTACTCAAGTAAAACAAAAATTACACATCACTGTAAGTACAGAAATAAATCACGTAAAGAACAGAACAATTTATAAAATGTTGTTGGTATTTTTGTGGTTATGTAACATAGATTTACATAGGTAAGTTAATATGCAACAATTCACCCATAGAAGCACCCGTCAACTAAACTGACATGAATTGTTTACTTCTATGGCCGGAAACTAAACATCCAAGTTGAATCCTGTCCAAGGTCATTCGCCCGTGACGATATGCTTGTCCCCCTGAGACCGGGTCGGACCATCCGGCGGCCGATCCAACCGAAGCCGAACTAGTCTACTAGTAGTCTACAGTACTATTATTTTATACTTTTTCATGTGTTATCTAATGTTTTAACAACATTCTTCTGTCCTGAAACAGCGTAGCAGTAGCCTATGATTAGCAGTAGCTTACTGGACTTTCTATTGTTCTGCTCTTTATTTTGCTGTACAGTGTTTAGAATTTTTTTGTTTGTGTAAAAGTTTAAGAAAGCTGTGATTTTAAACGTTACATTTTTTATTACTGAACCAAGATTAATAATTTAACATAATTATCATGATTATGTAATCATTAAGTAATATGAAAATGATCACATTAAAGTCCATTTATACAGCATTAGGTGTTGTTTATAAGTTAACGACTGTTTTATGTCACGATGAATTAACCATGGTTTTCAGTACCGGTAGTTATCCGATGGTCTGTACAAAATTCAGTTTTACTATGATTTTATGTCCATATACACGTTCCTCTGATAATTTCCTCCGACCTTTTTGCTGTTCCGACCATGCTCCCGGTCCAGTAGGTGACGGATTAGCGACGTTCTACCGTAGCTTATAAAGTGAATTATTTATCAACTATCAATTTCATTGACTTACTCTTGATGTCCATGTACCGGTGACTGACTGTGACTGTGTCCCGATGGTCCAGCATCCAAGCAAGCCGCTCGCTCATGACATACAGAGTTCCGTCTCCTTTCTTGTGCCTTACTTGACCCACCTGAAGGAGGATCTCTTCCGAAGATGTTGTCATCCTGGCTCTAAAACATCAGTTTTCAATATAGGCCCTTATAATATTGTTCCACTTTAAGGGAAACATTTAATAGAAGATATTATTACAGTAAGTTTTGAAGTTTCCTGTCAGGCACTTAATAGAAAGAATTGTTAATAGATAGAAAGGCACTTAAAGTATAGATTATGATTTAAGAGCAACATCCAAAACCTAGACTGAGTTTTACAGTAAATGTTTATAATTTAGGATAATACTGCAAGTAAACATTTTGTTTACGTGAGCCAGACTTACCATTGACTTTAGGACTTGTAAAATAGACATTCCATTTAAGTGAACCAGGCTTTGGATACTGCTAATAGGCATTCTATTTAAGAAAGCCAAATATATTATTGACATTGGATACTGCAAGTAGACATTTTATTTATGAGAACCAAATGAAACATAGACTTTGTAGACCAAATGTAAACAATTAATTTACGTGAACCTAGATACTTATAATTGACTTTGGATACTGAAAGTATCCATATCATTTACGAGAATCAGATGTAGCATTGACTTTAGAAAGTAGGCTATCTATTGGATTAATATGCTAGCTCCGCTCAATATTGTAAGCAGACAACTGCATTGTACACTTAGTATAAAATATCGTGTACCTACAGTGCCAACAGCACCATTGACATTGTTGCGGCAATATTGAAGGTTTGTTTATGACACAAATGAATGCCACAGGACTTTGCAGTTTAGCCAATTCATTAAGGTTGTAAGTAGCCTCGTCAACACGTCTTGTTTTCTTGACGTGATACGAACAGCGTTGCAGAGTTCTGATTCTGTTGATATTTTTTATATGAATTGTGAAGCAAAGAATCTTCCTCTGTTATCTTTCCATGAGCAACAGCATTACGAAATGACTTTGCTCTTCGACAAATTGACGCATGATGAGTTTTTAGATGAACAATTGTTGAATGATGAAATGTTTACAAAATGTATAGGTACCACTGATTTTGAAAGATCAGATGGCTTTACGGATAAAGCCATATCACCACACATATATGCAGTAAGATAAGACCACCAAACACTTTGTGGTTGTCAGGTTTCCTTTGACGTACAGTAAGCGTTTGTCGATAATTGTTGGCTTAGATAGTTTCATCGTGAACTAAGTCCAGGACTTTTCAAAAGAAATCTGAAGATTTACCAGATAGGCCCTAAACAGACTGCCACTGGTTTTGTCCTTGGCCGGCCTCACGCGCATGTACATGTTTTTTTTATTATAAATGTTTTCGTATGTGTTTATGTGTAGCCTATATATGAAATAATTTTGACGACGTCTTGTACAAGAGAATATGTTTGACATATGACGACTGAAGAGAAGATTTGAAAATAGGGTTTTAACCCCAAAACTATAGTCATCCACGGCAATATTAATATAGGACGGATTGACCAGTAATCTCATTTTATGTCAATAGCCATAACAATGTTTAGGCCTAGTTCACAAGGTAAAACTAATGGAACACTGATAAGAATAGGTACCGGTACCGTACACGTAATAATAAACTTCTGCGAGTTAATAACCGTGTTCAAACTGATTCCAAGAAATAATCACTAACTAAATTGATACAAAAACAATATTAACTTACTAACAGCACAAATATTAGGACAGAAACTGTATTGATCCTAAAAAAACAACGTCCTAAAAATAACGAGGTGCTGGATATTGAATATCCAGAAAACAAACATGTTTGTATCATTAGTTCTAAATTAAAAGGTCAAAAAACTTTCAAGCCATATTAGGCCTAGATATTAATGTTATTAGTGGTTCAAGCTAGTGCGTCATTTGTTTATGTTTATATCCTAGCCGTTTCTGTTAAATTAAAATATATCCGTGATAACAGTTACAATAACTCCTTTAAGTCAACAGCTGATCTTATGCCTCTGCTTTCGTGTCAAAAACTGTAGGCCTAAACATTGTAATTTTGAGGGCCTGTGGGGCGGATTCCTTAGAGAATTTTGGAACGTAATATAGATATTAGCACTTACCAATATTGTCTTAACCATCATGCGAAATTTGAAAATGATTGCTTCAGCCGTCTAGGAGTTTGCGTATTATAAAATGCATAAGAGTCAACGTATAGCTTCGCTTGCTCCACTCAACAAATTAGAGGTTCATTTAGAAAGAAATGGCTCTGGAATTTTCCTAGACCTGCTTTATTCAACAACCCCCTTGACTAGGATATCCTCAAATACAAATTATTCAACATTGTCTTAAATTACTCAATATAATTAACACGTTCACTGCTAAAAACCTTTATAGGTACAGGTAATCCTAAACTGCGGCGAGGCCCGGGCGGAGTCCCGGCACGCTAACTGAATCAACGATCGCTATTGGCATTGAAATATCTCAGTAAGACGAATCACAAAAGAGCAGTGGTGATTGTTCTGCGTTAGGTACCCCAAAAGTGGACGAAGTTCACTGAAACACACAAAGGTAGCAGCACTGCCTGAATCAATAACCAGAGTCCTTGTAATATGGCTTGAATAGAGAAAATCCCTGAAAACTGGACGAAAGCATTGCTAGACGGGATTTTACGGGAATGTTTAGTACCAACCTACACCAAAATAAAGCTCGCATTCTAAGCTACAGGCTAGTAATAATTACAACGTTCCCCGGCAACGGCTGAGCTGCCATTGAAGCAAAGTTGTTGGCATTGGTGAAGGACGACATTTTCCGCCCCACACCAGTGGTGCCGGTACAGTGGGACGAGAATTCCCGCCCCTCGCACTGAGCGTGTTAATCTATCCAAGATAAAGCCTTGGCGTCATGCGAGGTGCAGGTTAGGTATGGGGGATAAGTTAAGTGCCTAAAATAGGCCTACATAAAAATAGGCTAGTTAGCCTAAGTTAATTTGTGTAGCTTAAGCCTAACTTACCAACAGTAACTTAAAATCCATAAAAATACATTTTCCTCTATGCCTTACTTTCCATTAAGTTACTCTACTCAAAAGCTAAACTTATTTAGGCATCTTACCAAAAGTTATATGGTTATAACATACCCCAGTAACTTAGTACGGTGTCCTGGTTGTGCCACCCCCCCCCCCCCATATCTATGGACCATGTGACTACTCTACTTAGAGTGGATCGATAGTTATTAGGCTATTCTGATAACTTCAAAAGGTAGAAATCGAAAGCCAGTATCAAAACACCACTTTACCACTAGATCATCATGGTTCCTACGTAGGACATCAAGAGGAATTTCCCGGGGATCTGACTTAACTTATATTGGTGCAAACATTTTGCGGATGACACTAACTTAAGTTATGTTAATGTTGTTCACTCGGACCACCAAGCAAACAACCTTAGTCTGATAAATTAACAATGGATTTAAAAATACCAACAACAGCCTGCGAAAACATTAACCTTATAATTAATAAAAATAAGACAAGGCACAATAACTTCCAAATAAATTGGTCCAGACTGGGCATTCCCAGTAACGTTAGGCTATTTTAGGCCCTAAACTTAGGTTTTAAACTATACAGATTAATAACTAGCATAAGTTATTAATTGTCTGCAAAAATCAAATATAGTATCAAATTGTTATTGATTTGGTAGGGAACTATTCCATGAGCAAAATCTTTGTTCCTAGTTATATTAGTGAATTTCCCTATAGGGAAGTAGCTATTACCGTAGGTGGCACGGTAAAACCTAGGCCTGGGACCGATTACTTTTTCATTTTGATGTCCCCAGAGGCCAAAAATACCATTCGTTCAAATTTTTATATATGTAGGCCTATAAATATATAGATATATTTATATTTATATATATATAGATTTATATATACCGGTATATAGATTTATATATATATAAGTTACGTCCGTGAACGTGATAACTTGAGTAATTTTAGTCCGATTTTGATGAAATTAGGTTTAAGGGTGTAGGGCGGGATAAACTTGAATGAGTTCGCGAACCAGCATGGTCGGGCCATGGGAACGGGGTTTTACGGGGGGTTTTATTGGGTAAAAAATGGGTTTTCTCATTTTGACCCTCAAAACACAAAATTTCTCAATTTCTCTCTTGACCTTTTTAAAGAGCTTAAAAAAAACAAATAATTTAGTATATCAATGTGTTTTTATACGTTTATTGGTAACGGAGAAAATAAAAAAAAATGTAAATTTAAAATTCCCATGTTATTGTTATGGGGAAATTTGTAAAATGTAGTCGTTTGCTTGTTTATGGATATATTTTGATAAAACTTGGCAAATTTATTTATTGTATAAGTTACTAAGCTATTAATAGTTTACTAAAAAACCCCACTTTAACAGTTTCTTTGTAGCAGCAAACCTAGGTACTCGTTAAACCTAATGTTATTTAAATAGATTTAATTGAAAATCAATTCCGACAAATGGAAATTCGCTTAGTCGGCAGGTTTGCTGCGACGGGGGTATTTTTTATTATTAATAATTAACTTACAAGACATTTCATCAACCACAGACAAGATCAGTTAGACAGACAGAATGAAAGTTAGAAAACATTATGTTAAAAAACCTAACACTACAACAACTCTAACTTGGTCAATAATTAACAACATTAAGTTAAATCAATTTAATTATTTTAGCCTATTTAGCGGTCAATCTCATTTCTGAGTGTCTCGTTTTCGTGCAGCCATTACATCTACATTGGGGACTACGTGCGAAAATGAAGTTGACTTGTGAATTTAGATTTATTCCCAAATAAAGTGTATTTATCATTATCTAATACCAGAAAACGTTAGAAGTAGTGGTGAAACTACAATAGTACTGCTTTAAACTTTTAAAGAATGTCCTTACCTTGTAAAATATCAATTATTCGGAAGAGCAAACGAGCGGCCGTCTGATCACAGCCGGAGCCATGTGTGACACACAAAATACAACCGAACATCTCTGCTACTCTGCTACACAGCGGCTCTCACTGAAATACGAAGAAGCAGCAACCCAAAGGTGGCGATCTGAGTTGATTCCACTTCCCCCTGTGCAGTGTTGCAACACCTCATTCAATAATATTTTACATTGATTGTTATTTCAGGAAAACATTTCTACGAAATAGAATTGAGTTAAAAATGTTATTTCATTTGTTTAAACACGTATATAGGCATGATCTATCTACGGTTCTTCAAAATTCGAAAATAATCGTAAACTAACAGAGGAGTTTCAAAGAATTGGCAACACTGTGTGAAGATTGCAAAGAGAATGTTTTATTTCTTTCTTTCTCTTGGAAATCAATCTGAAAGAAAAGTCTGCTAAATTATTGCTTGAAGCTAAACATTTTTATTAGTGGTAATTGAGACTGAAAAATATATTGTGTGTATAAAATAAACCAACACACTGCATTCTGTCATGTTCTTTGTCAATTTTTTTAATAGTAAATTTTAAGATAGGCCCAAGTACCAAAACGCAATCATTGTAAATACATACTGTATCAAATAGACAAAACTGGCACTTTTTGTCTATTATTAAGACAACATTTTAAATAAAAATTTTACGAAGCGAAATACAAAATTATAAAAAAAATATTAGGTACATATATATTAGGAAAAAAATTTATTTATAACTAATTAACACACACATTTATTTATAATTAATTTTTGGTAGTATGTAATTATAGTTAGAAATAAATATATTAGGTAATATTAGGTAAACTACTTTACCTTATTCAACTAAACAAACTATCCGTACGAACTAGTGGAATTCGTTCTCACCAATAAAAATATTGGTTAGGCTATTTTAATCATTAATGAGGAAAATCATATATTTTTATTGGTACCATAATGCTTAATGTATGGCTGACTATGGCCATTTTGACCAACTACTTATGATCCTAAACCTCCCACTTAGTTAGCAATCAAAACAAACAATATCCTGGCTTTTATTATTTCAATCAAAATACCGTAGAGAATAAATGTTGAAATAGTACGTGTTTAACATTATAATCGTTCGTAGATGAATTTTATTTATATAGTACTGTAGTGTATAATAATCGTATACCTTCAAGGTTCCTCTATGGTTTGTGAAGCCACTAGCGCGACTAGTGAGGAAGTTACAAGTTAAAGTTAAGTTAGATGCTCATACATGCTCATACTTACGGGTCCAGTTCTTGCAAGGCTCACGGGACGCTCCTTGACGTCATACTCATTCGTTTTCAGAGGAACAATTAATTGCATGACGTTCACCACACTTTCCCGGTGCCATTCCTTTCAATTTTAGTGGTGGTTCTGGTTAGTGGTTTCAGAATTTGGACTCATTTGGACATCGGATACGCTGTTTTTTTTGTTTGGTCGAACATTTTTATTAAAAAAGAGTGTTATTGAATGGAGTTTATAGTTTTAAATGTAATTTTTTTCAAATTAAATTCATAACTTATAACCTGATTAAGTTAATATGAAATCTATCTATATTTATATATCCATCCATCTATCTATATAATACGCTAAGCCGATTTTTGTGAACAGAACTCCTCCCTCATGTTTAGCCCGATTTTGATGATTAAAGTGTCCCTGATCTGTAGTTTTGCAAAGTGGTTTTTATATTTTTTAATTCTTATTAGTTTGGGCAGGGTCTTCGATCAAAGTTGGTTTTCTTACTATAAGTGTAACATGGAGAAATCTATTTATTTAATTGGAAAATTTGTCTCCACTAATTTGAGAGAACAGCTGGGTTGGGCTTAGAAGCTTGGTAGAGGTGTCTAAAGAAAGGTCTTGGTAACAGTGTCATTCCCAGACACACGCTTGGCAATTTGGTTTCACTCCTCTACTACTCCTTTCATAACATTAGTCGCCTAAAGTCTATACTGTCCTCACTTTGGTGCCCCATGTAACGAGTGTTTAAGTGTTAGTGTCCTTCATGTGCTTTTCCCCACTCCTCGGTCTCCAATCACATTCATGTGGCGTCCCCATCTTAAATAATTGATAATTGATATATCGTGTGCATTCTGTGTTTGTTATCTATATATATAAAATCCAATGTATGTTTGTTTGTCCTTTATGGACTCCGAAAACGCTTGACAGATTGTAATGAAACTTTCAAGCATTATTAAGCATTATTCAAGGATGGAAGTTTGGTGCAGATCCGTCAAAAGGGCTCTGCCCCAGTAGCTCTGGAGATTCCCATGTTAACCTTATTAGTGCAGTAAAAATAAGAGAAAAATTCCATAAACCTAAAAAAAATTAGCACAACCGGGGAATTTGGTACAGATGTTGGGTGTACCTTCCTTTTGAACATACTAAAAGTCCCCTAAAATTGAAGCTGTGCTACGGCTGCCATATTGGAAAATGGCGTCATATTTCTGTATTTTTCGCTATAGTGACTTAATTATTAGAGATACAGGAAAAAGGTAAATATACAAAATGTAGGTCATCTAAAAATACACATTTTTTGTATTTACCATCTTTCTCTAAACCCAACGGTTTTTGAGTTATTTGTTATTAAGTATATTTAGTTTTTTCTATTCATCAAAAATAGGTGAAACACATGGAAATTGACCGTTACTTTCAAGGATTATGATAATTTATCCCATTTAGTTAAATAGTGTGATACTATAAAATCTTAAAATTTAAGCTTATTTTATGAGTAAAACAACTCTGCCACAGCAAACCTGCAGACTCAGCAAATTTCCATTTGTTTGGATGTTTTATTAATTGTATTTAAATAAAATTAGATTCAACAGGTACCTAGGTTTGCTGCTACAGGTAGGTTATTATAGTGTGTTTTTTTAGTAAAATATCAATAACTTAGTATAAAATAATTAATTTTCCAAGTGTGATCATAATAAATCTATAAACAACTAAACAAACTGCAACAGTTACCTAATTCATAACAATAGCATGGTAGCTTAAGATTTACAATTTACAAATTTAAATATAAAAAATTTGGTTGTGTTTACTAAAAATATGGCGATTATTCGTCATGATTCGAATACTAATTGAAGGGGTTTTCAAAAGGAGATGAAGCAAGTAATTTAAGTACTGTAATAAATATTAACTCGTACCAAGTATCGGAAATATTGTATGCAGTGAGGAAATCAACCATATTTTGTAAACTACGCAATAGTCATATTAATATTTTATACTCATTTTTACCCATTTAATAAATTAACATTTTTTAATATTTTGATGGCACTACCACTATCATTATCAACTAAGTGGGATGAATAATTGTCGTAAACCTTGAAAGTAACCGTCGATTGCGATGGGTTTCACCGATTTTTTATAAATAAAACTAACTATACTATACCATACTTAAATAGTCACCAACATGAACTAGACACAAAAAACACCCTTCCAAATTTACAATGGGATGTCAAGTATAGTTAGTTAGTGTGGTGGTGCCATCAAAATACTAAAATGTTAACTATTAAAAGGGTAAAAAATGAAGATAAAATATTAATATGACTATTGCATACTTTACAAAATATGGTAGATTACCTTACTGCATACAATATTTTTGGTGCTTGGTACGAATAAATATTTCTTAAATAACAGGCTGCATCTCCTTTTGAAAACCCATTTGGTTAATATTCTAATCGTGACGAATAATCGCCATCTTTTTAATAAAACATCCAATCAAATGGAAATTTGCTGAGTCTGCATGTTTGCTGTGGCGGAGTTGTTTTACTCATAAAATAAGCTTAAATTTTTAGATTTTATAGTATCACACTATTTAAGTAAATAGGATAAATTATCATAATCCTTGAAAGTAACGGTCAATCTCCATGTGTTTCACCTATTTTTTTATAAATAGAAAAAACTAAATATACTTAATAACAAATAACTCAAAAACCGTTGGGTTTAGAGAAAGATGGTAAATAAAAAAATGTGTATTTTTACATGACCTACATTTTGTACATTTAGCTTTTTCCTGTATCTCTAATAATAAAGTAACTACAGCGAAGAATACAGAAATATGCCGCCATTTTCCAATATGGCGGCCGTAGCACAGCTTCAATTTTAGGGGACTTTTAGCATAGACTAACCAACTAGACTTCTCATCCCATTGTAAATTTTGAAGCTCGTTTTTCATGTCTAGTTCATGTACGCCACACTGGGCGCTAGTGTCGACGAAATTTTGTTTCTATTATTTTAGGGTTAATTTCTTGATTTGTGCTTTACTGTTTGGTTAAATAACTAGGGGACAATCTATTGTTTATGATTAGATCGTATTATTTGGTTAAATGAGGTTTTAAATGACTGTATTAACGGGAAACAAATTGTAAACAAAACACGACCTCTAACATAAACCGTACAGAACTAACAAATAAAATTGTCTTCAGCTGTTCCATTAGGATGAGAAATCTACTAAAGGAGTATGTTTTATCTATGCTTTTAGTATGTTCAAAAGGAAGGTACACCCAACATCTGTACCAAATTCCCCGGTTGTGCCAATTTTTTTGGGGCCAAAACATATTTTTACTGTACTATTTGAGAACTCATATTTAAATGGAATTAAAGAATCATAACAGCTGGTTCAACTAAACAATTTGATTCTGTGATGCTCAATAGCATTAAAAAGTTAATAGGTTTACCAACAGGGTGCAGCACTATTATCTTTTGAAATTTATGATAACAGCTAATTTGCAGCCATAAGGTGAGTGAGCGTAGCGAACGAACTTCAACCTGGAGGCGAGATAGCGTAGCAAACGAGCTAACCTGAAGGCAAGTGAACGCAGCGAACGAGTTCCAACTTAAAGGTAAATGAGCGTAGCGAACGAACTTCAACCAGGACGTGATTGAGCCATGCGAACGAGCTCTTCTTGAAAATGAACGAGCATTTGAAATAAAACCACATTAGGACAGGACGACGTCTGTCTGTCCAGCTAGTTTATTTAAAATTCTTGCAAAAGTTATATCTCCCAATTCTGGCATGTCAATGTTTGAGTTATTATTCACGTCATTGTTGCTGTAAATTCTCAAT